AATGGTATTACATTGGGAACCAGAGTCAGTGTCACCATCTCAGTTCAGTTCAGTCGCTCAGTTGTGTCCGACTCTTTGTGACGCTATGAACCGCAGCACACCAGGCCTCCCTGTCCATCACCAACTCCCGGAGTCCACCCAAACCCATGTCCATTGAGTTGGTGATGCCATCCAACCATCTCAATCCTCTGTCGGCCCCTTCTCCTCCTGCCCTCAATCTTTCTCAGCATCAGGGTCTTTTCAAATGACTCAGCTCTTCACATCAGGTGGCCAAAGTATTGGAGTTTCAGCTTCAACATCAGTCCTTCCAATGAACACCCAGGACTGATCTCCTTTAGGATGGACTGGTTGGATCTCCTTGCAGTCCAAGGGACTCTCAATAGTCTTCTCCAACACCACAGTTCAAAACCATCAATTCTTTGGTGCTCAGCTCTCTTTATAGTCCAACTCTCACATCCATACATGACCACTGGAAAAACCATAGACTTGACTAGATGGACCTTTGTGAACAAAGCAATATCTCTGATTTTTAAAATGCTGTCTAGGTTGGTCATAACTTTCCTTCCAAGGAGCAAGTGTCTTTTAATTTCATGGCTGCAATCACCATCTGCAGTGATTTTGGAGCCCAGAAAAATAAAGTCAGCCACTGTTTCCACTGTTTCCCCATCCATTTGCCATGAAGTGATGGGACCATGGAGTGATGCCATGATCTTAGTTTTCTGAATGTTGAGCTTTAAGCCAACTTTTTCACTCTCCTCTTTTACTTTCATCAAGAGGCTCTTTAGTTCTTTTTCACTTTCTGCCATAAGGGTGGTATCATCTCCATATCTGAGGTTATTGATATTTCTCCCAGCAATCTTGATTCCAGCTTGTGCTCCCTCCAGCCCAGCATTTAGTTCAACTGAATTCACAATAAAACTTTTATGTATTACCATGAATCACTGGTCCTGTTTGTGAACTGGTCTTTTTTGGGGGGTGGTGAGGGTGGTGTGGTGAAAAGTTGGCTTTTTCCTAACAATGGTTAAAAATTCTTTTTTAAAACTTATTTTTGTCATCAAAGTCAAGGAAGGTAAACATTTTACTTACATAAGAGTTAAAATTAGGAACACCAAAATTATTCAGGAATACACTAAATATCAACTTTGTATCACACAGTTTATGAGTTCTACTCAACATATCTTATTTAGCTCTTAAATCTGATTCGAGATAGATTTTAGAACTGAGTAAACCAAGTCTTTTTTTAAATTTATTTATTATTTTACTTTACAATTTTGTATTGGTTTTGCCATACATTGACTTGATTCCTCCATGGGTATACATGTATTCCCCATCCTGAACCCCCACTCCTACCTCCCTCACCATCCCATCCCTCTGGGTCATCCCAGTGCACCAGCCCTGAGCACCCTGTCTCATGCATCGAACCTGAACTGGCGATTCATTTTACATATGATAATTTACATATTTCAATGCCATTCTCCCATATCATCCCGCCCTCATCTTCTCCCACAGAGTCCAAAAGACTGTTCAATACATCTGTGTCTCTTTTGCTGTCTTGCATACAGGGTTATCGTTACCATCTTTCTAAATTCCATATATATGCATTAGTATTCTGTATTGGTGTTTTTCTTTCTGACTTACTTCACTCTGTATAATAGGCTCCAGTTTCATCCACCTCATTAGAACTGATTCAAATGTATTCTTTTTAATAGCTGAGTAATATTCCATTGTGTACATGTACCACAGCTTTCTTATCCATTCATCTGCTGATGGACATCTAGATGGTTCCATGTCCTGGCTGTTATAAACAGTGCTGCGGTGAACATTGGGGTACACGTGTCTCTTTCAGTTCTGGTTTCCTTGGTGTGTATGCCCAGGAGTGGGATTTCTGGGTCATATGGCAGTTCTATTTCCAGTTTTTTAAGGAATCTCCACACTGTTCTCCATAGTGGCTGTACTAGTTTGTATTCCCACTAGCAGTGTAAGAGGGTTCCCTTTTCTCCACACTCTCTCCAGCATTTATTGCCTCTAGACTTTTGGATAGCAGCCACTCTGACTGGTGTGAAATGGTACCTCACTGTGGTTTTGATTTGCATTTCTCTGATAATGAGTGGTGTTGAGCATCTCTTCATGCGTTTGTTAGCCATATGTATGTCTTCTTGGAGAAATGTCTGTTTAGTTCTTTGGCCCACTTTTTGATTGGGTCATTTATTTTTTGGGAATTGAGCTGCAGGAGTTACTTGTATATTTTTTAGATTAATCCTTTGTCCGTTGCTTCGTTTGCTATTATTTTCTCCCATTCTGAAGGCTGTCTTTTCACCTTGCTTATAGTTTCCTTTGTTGTGCAAAAGCTTTTAAGTTTCATTAGGTCCCATTTGTTTATTTTTGCTTTTATTTCCAATATTCTGGGAGGTGGGTCATAGAGGGTCCTGCTGTGGTTTATGTCAGAGAGTGTTTTGCCTATATTTTCCTCCAGGAGTTTTATAGTTTCTGGTCTTACGTTTAGATCTTTAATCCATTTTGAGTTTATTTTTGTGTATGGTGTTAGAAAGTGTTCTAGTTTCATTCTTTTACAAGTGGTTGACCAGTTTTCCCAGCACCACTTGTTAAAGAGATTGTCTTTTCTCCATTGCATACTCTTGCCTCCTTTGTCAAAGATAAGGTGTCCATAGGTTCATGGATTTATCTCTGGGCTTTCTATTTTGTTCCATTGATCTATATTTCTGTCTTTGTGCCAGTACCATACTGTCTTGATAACTGTGGCTTTCTAGTGGAGACTTGGAAGAAATGGACAAATTCTTAGAAAAGTACAACTTTTCAAAACTGAACCAGAAAGAAATAGAAAATCTTAACAGACCTATCACAAGCATGGAAATTGAAACTATAATCAGAAACCTTCCAACAAACAAAAGCCCAGGACCAGACGGCATCACAGCTGAATTCTACCAAAAATTTAGAGAATTAACAGCTATCCTATTGAAACTCTTCCAGAAAATTGCAGAGGAAGGTAAACTTCCAAACTCATTCTATGAGGCCACCATCACCCTAATACCAAAACCAGACAAAGATGCCACAAAAAAAGAAAACTACAGGCCAATATCACTGATGAACATAGATACAAAAATCCTTAACAAAATTCTAGCAAACAGAATCCAACAACATATTAAAAAGATCATACATCATAACCAAGTGGCCTTTATCCCAGGGATGCAAGGATTCTTCAATATTCACAAATCAATCCGTGTAATACACCACATTAACAAATTGAAAAATAAAAACCATATGATTATCTCAATAGATGCAGAGAAAGCCTTTGACAAAATTCAACATCCATTTATGATAAAAACCCTCCAGAAAGCAGGAATAGAAGGAACATACCTCAACATAATAAAAGCTATATATGACAAACCCTCAGCAAACATTATCCTCAATGGTGAAAAATTGAAAGCATTTCCCCTAAAGTCAGGAACAAGACAAGGGTGCCCACTCTCACCACTACTATTCAACATGGTTTTGAAAGTTTTGGCCATAGCAATCAGAGCAGAAAAGGAAATAAAAGGAATCCAGATTGGAAAAGAAGAAGTAAAACTCTCCCTGTTTGCAGATGACATGATCCTCTACATAGAAAACCCTAAAGACTCTACCAGAAAACTACTAGAGGTAATCAATGAATATAGAAAAGTTGCAGGATATAAAATTAACACACAGAAATGCCTTGCATTCCTATACACTAACAATGAGAAAACAGAAAGAGAAATTAAGGAAACAATTCCATTCACCATTGCAATGAAAAAAATAAAATATTTAGGAATATATCTACCTAAAGAAACAAAAGACCTATATATAGAAAACTATAAAACACTGGTGAAAGAAATCAAAGAGGACACAAATAAACTAAGTCTTCACAAAGTATATTGCTCAAGATTATATAGTTAGTAAGTGACAATGCTGGGATTACATCTACATGTATATTTATGTAAACATTTCCAAACAATTAATATGCAATTGCTCTAAATTTTCTCTAAGCAGGTAATTCTCAGTGGTCCAGTGGTTGAGACTTGGGCATTCATTGCCATGGACCCAGGTTCAATCCCTGTTTGGGGAACTAAGATCCCACAAGTTGCATGGTGCAGCCAAAAAGAAAAAGTTATCTTTAGGGAAACATTCATATATAACATTTAATTACATTTATTTGAGAGAAATACAAACTTTAAAAAGCCACCAGCCTTCAATTAGTTATGCCAGGCAAAAGATTACCTCTTTCCATATCACGTATAAGGCCATCTTATGAAAGCAGACACAGGGTCAATTTCTTGCCACTAAATATCTTAATTGCCTGGTATAAAATGGCGAATGAGTGAAGTTCATTAGCGAACAAATAGAACAAATTATGTCTGGGTCAAGAGCCAACTCAAAGGCCAGTGGTCAACCCATCAGTGCTTTCTAGACAGCCAAAGAAAATGAGCATTACTACACTCAACCAAGTCAAAAGCAAAGATATTTGACAAATTAATTTATGTAGGATTGTCACATTTAAATTTCACAGTTTTCAGATAGAGTTAAAATAGCTAGAAAATCCCAATTATCTAGATAGTCCTTTGGGATCTCAGGAACCCAATTATAAGTATCTAATATGACATTTTAGGTACTGAGTGGCTCAGTGGTAAAGAATCCACCTGCAAGGCAGGAGACATGGGTTTGATCCCTGGGTCAGGAAGATCCCCTGCAGAAGGAAATGGCAACCCACTCCAGTATTCTTGCCTGGAGAATCCCATGGATAAAGGAGCCTGATAGGCTACAGTCCATGAGGTTGCACAGAGTCAGACATGATTTAACAACCAGATAACAACAACAATATGACACTTTAGAATCACAAATATCTTGAATATGGTTAAAGAAGATATCAAATTAGACATTATAATCATAATCTCTCAATACCAGCCAAGACTACTGTCCTAACCAACCATTTGACAAAAATGAATAATAAAGTTCAAAGCATTTACCAGACATATCACCATTGTGATCATAAAATGGAGGTGACTGGCCGATCATTCCATTCCTCCTTGTCCAGCCAAGTTGCAGACTCTGATCTCGTATCATACTACAGAGCCCATCCTCAAAATCACATCTTTCATAATCCGAGCCTAATGAGAGAGAAAAGAAATTAGTTTCCACAACCCCATGTGTCTTCTTAAGAAATAATACAATACATGAAAAAAGAAAGCTTAGGAATAAATGACAAATAGAGATTAACAAATTGTTATCTATTAACAAATAGAGATTAACAAATTGTGATAGTTTTTCACAATTTCAGTCTACTTTATCGATGCAAAGGTTTTCTGCACATGACATTCAAATATATCCCCAAATGCAAAATCCAGTGTGATCTTACAGACAGAATGCCGCAGGTGAGGTCATAAGAGTGAGGACCTAAGCCTGATTTTGCTCTTACTAACTGAGGGCCTAGCTAAACCACTTAACCACACCAAGACCCTTTTTTCACCTATGGAACTAAAATAGTGACATCCTATCCTTTCCTCCCATGAATGATTTCTATGAAGATCTAATGATACAATGTATTTTAATCACACACACAAAAGGTATTTTCTAGCTTTTTTTTCCCCCCTCATTTTCTCTGGGTACAAGTGATCCAACAGATTTGGGAGAAAGAAAAGGATTTGGACACCTGGTTGCTCATGATAATCATCCAGAGTGGGCTTTATTCCATTATGCAACATCTTCAAATGTCATTCTCTAAAAAATAGATTAATTCAACCACAAATATACCATCCCTGGGTTGCAGCTCTTAGTAACGGTGCTTTTCCTTTGACAAGTTTGTTCTTGTCCTGACTGGTTGCATTAGCCACAGTGCTTATTCTGATTAACAGATAAGACAGTGCTTGGCAACCCAGTCACAAAAACCTAATTTTTATTTAATCATATTTTGGACAAAATATTACTTAGTAATATGTCTGGTGCATGTTCTTGAGATCATCCATGTGAGTACTAAGAGCCAATTTGGAAATGACACTTTTAAACAACATTAGCTAAACCTGCTTTACTACCAATGGTCTATTTTATTAATTTTAGTCCTAGATTCCTAATGGAAAGATTTTACAAAGCAGATGTATTCTGTAATATTAATGGGAATCTTCCAGGTACAATTTACTGAGGAAGGTCAGTGATAGGCTTTCTACGTCCAGCAGTTTACTCTTTACAACAATCTTACAAAGCAGGCAGCAAGTGAATGCTGGGGCCAAGAGTGGAACCCAGGTCTTTTTTGACTCCAAAACCTGAATTCTTAAAACTCTAAGGTCTCATTGTTAATCCACTAACCCATTTTTACCAAAGACCTAGATTTAAAGGTCTGTCAGTCAGAGTTTCTACTCAGCCTGGGGAAGCCAATATTTCCAGGTAGAAGCAATGTCCTTCTACTTAAAAACTAAAAAATGTGATTAGTCTGTGAATCATACTATGATTAAATTTACAGTTGCCTTAAGGCCTTTGAAATGTTGAGAATTGCTGAAATATCTGAGTTATTACCTCATGGGCTCCTACTGATCCGAGAATCTAGTTGAACAGAAAATGAACTAAATTAGATGCTATTTGTATATAAATGTGTATGTGTCATTCAAATAGCTATGTAATAGCCTGCATAAATATGTTATCTGTTTAAGCCTCTTTCAGCACCCAGCAATGTTTCCAATGATCTATTTCTGATTACAAAATATTCACAAAAGTATTTTTATCACTGTATTTCAACAATTATGTGTATGAAATATACTCACATTCTCAAATAGATGTCAGTTTTTAAATACCAAGAAATTACCTTGCATTAAAATTACTTAGTTGATGTTTGTTTTCAATGCTTTTGTCCTCTTTAATAAACAAGGATAATGATGAAGTATTCTGAAGTGTTAGAGCTACAAAGTAGCTAAATAAAACATTTTTATTTCTGAATAGTCTCAACAGGGGATCTTTTCGTTACAGCATGAATCTAATGAGTATACATTTTTCAACTCATTCTTATTAAAAAGAAGCAATCATGAACTTCTCATAACTGCTGGGTTATTCAAAATATCCATCAGAAAATTTTCTAACTACTCATTTTTCTCCCAATAGAGAACTGGGTATTTTCAGCCAATTGAACAATTTTTTCTTGAATTGTGGTTGATTTGCCTTTTATAATCTCATATGCCACCCATCTACATTCAAATCTGACAGTACTTGCTATAGTAAAATCTGTGTGGAGATTTATCTTCTATTACAGCAATGCTGCGGTTGGACTGGATATGGAACAAGAAGGAATGGATGCAGGAACTCATCCAGAGAATCATGTTCCTGAGCTTTCTGAACTTGAGAAATTCCTCATTTTGCTTTTAATTTTGTGATACCACAGGTCAAGTGTACTATCGTCAAAAAGAGACTGTCTCTATGTTGTCCTTTGAGGTTGCTTGGAAGACCCAATTATCTTCTGAATTGGCTTCCACCATACCATATTCTCTCATTAAAATTTTACTGCAGAGCCATTCAAAGATGTGATCATTAACACCATAATTGGGGAAAATAGTTTAAAAAATATCCTCAAGTGACAGTTAACATAGGGCATGCTTCTGAGAAAATGGAAAGGAATAGAAAAAAATTTAATAATGGTAATGGTGAAGAATTTGATGCAGAATTCAGGATTAACTTAGTATGAGTAGGTCATCACAATAATGAAGTTCTTAGAAGACAGAAAATATAAGAATTAGGAAAATTCTAAAAAGGAGAGGTAGAAGGCCTTTATTTCACAGTTTTGCCTGGACCTATACTAATAATGCACATTTTTTCCCTCTTGAAAGTTCTATGAGGCAGAGTTGTAGTCTTTCCTTAATAAATCCTGCTTTTCTTAGAAAATTGTGCCAAGACATACATAAAATGCATCATTTTAAGTGTATAGCTCTGTGGTAACAAATACATTCACACTAATACGCAACCATCATCACCCTCCAAGTTCACAACTGTTTCATTTCCCCCAAGTAAAACTTTTCATCCTCCATCCCCTCAGCCCCTCAAAACTACCATTCTACTTTCTGTCTATAAACTTTACTACTCTAGGTACCTCATAAAAGTGGAATAAAATATTTGTCTTTTTGTAATTGGTTTAATTCACTTAATATAATTGTCCTCAAAGTTCATCCATGTTGTAGCACATGTCAGAATGTCCTCCCTTTTTAAATCTGAACAATATTCCATTGTATGTATCTACCACATCTCATTTATTCATTCATCTTCTGGAGGATACTTGGGTACTACTGACATCTAAATACTATTAATTCTTCCAATCCCTGAATATATGTCTTTGCATTTATTTGGGTCTTCTTTAATTTCTTCCAGCCAACAATTTTTAGTTTTCATATCCTTGGTTATGTTTATTCCTAGGTATTTTATTTTGTTTTACACTATTATGAATGGAATTTTTTCTTAATTTCCTTTTTAGATGGTTCATTGAGTACAGAAATGCAGCTAATGTTTGTATGTTGATTTTGAATCTTGCACCTTTGCTTCATTTGTTTCTTTGTTCTAACATTTTTTTCATAGACTTTTTAGGATTTTCTACACTTAAGATCACATTTTCTGTGAACAGAGATAATTTTTTGTGTTCATATCCAGTTTTAATGGCTTTAATTTCTTTTTATTGTCTAATTGCTCTGACTGGGACTTCTAGTACTATGCTGACAGAAGTGATTAAAGAGGGCATCTTATCTTGTTCCAGATCTTAAAGAAAAAGCTTTCCATCTGTCACCATTGAGTATAATGTTAGCTGTGGATTTTTCATATATAGCCATTAGTGTGTTAAGGTTAATTTCCTTCTAGTCCAAGATTAAGTGTTTTTATCTCATTCCTTTTTGAGGAAAGCTATATATTACTCAGTCACAAAATTTTACATACATTTTACTGTTAAGAGGATGATTTTCCTCATGTAGAAAGCATATAAAAAATTTTCACAAAGAATTATCTCCCTTACTTTCATTTAATTTAAAAATTAATGGCCAGTTCCTGCAAAAGATAAAAATACATTCAAAATATTCCAATTAAATAAAAGTAAATTTTAATTATTCTCAAAAGTAAATTTCCATGAAAGAGTGCTATTATTTGGCTGGGCAATTTGAAACCATTAATTAATTTTTATCAGGGAAATGTTTATACTTCACACTGAATTAATTTTAATAGTTTCAATGAGACAAAAATAGGAAAAATCCTAATTCAGAAAGGTATATGATGGCAAATGGAATAAGAAGTTTCATAGCTCACACCAGAATTATCTAATATTACTTAGGTTGGAATCTTGTCATATAGTTGCCTTTAATCTCAAGCCATTAAGCACATCTTCAACAAGAATTTGACACAGATATCATCAGTGACACATGAAAAAAGATTTCCAAATCATTATTTTAACTGTAATACTGTTTCAAGATTAGCAAAATTCAAAGGAATTCTCTGCGTTTAATTGTCTGGTGATTTCTACAGAAATACTGACTATGTGTGGCATTTACTCCAGCCTACAGTAGTATTACATGAGTATTATAAAGGTTATACAGCTGCTTACAAACAATTCTCTACTTCAGAGCAGCAGTTTGGCCAAAAGATCTTATTACTTTTCACCGCTGTCTGTAATGGTGAATATGGGACCTTTAATGGAAAGTTATCACTCTTGCATAGAGAAAACTTCATTTTGCATTCAACGGAGTGGTAAGATAAATACCACACATGAAAACTCACATTTCACTCTATTAATGTTTATCTTCATATATTTCAATGAACTTCTACACTTATAATTACTTTTAAAAGTAGTTGACACTTATGTCATCCTACTGAAGAAAAAATGTTTGTACTTAATATAACCTGGCTAAACACTATCACCTCTCAGATTTTCAGAATGTACCTCTAAGGTAATTTTCACACATTTCACATACAAAGATTTATGTGAAGTAAATACCTTTTGAAAAATGCCTAAATCCAAAAAGTTTTCAAAAGAAGTTAGGTAATACTTTAAAACTTTATGGTACATTTCATCATATCAAAATAAACAAAACAGACCAAATGGAAGTATTCTTAAGCAAGACATGTATGTAGGAGAGAAATTATATAACTGAATATATTTTTCCACTTTGAGTCAATGATAAATTTAGCTCTAAACATAAATGTATGTAACAGTCAATGTTAAAACTAACTTCAGTTATGCTCAAGTAATTATCTAAGAATATTTTCTGGTAGTATTCCAGTAGTAGAGACCCACTGCATGGGATATACCTCAACATTGTATCAATAGTATAGTTTATTATCTTATGGTTGATTTGTTATCTGAATGATAGCAACATAAGTAACATTACTGTTTTATCACTGAGTAAAAATAAAACAATAAAGCCTTTGAACATCAAATAATTTTGCATGATTGCTAAAAAAGAAACTATTGCTTAGTTTAATTAAACTAATAGAAACGTAATAGAATGAAGAAGACCAGGCAATGGGGTACTGCATGAGGCAGACAATGTGACATGAGAAACATAATTTAAAAAAAAAATACCTAGAGCAGTACCACAAGATTTATTTCCCAGGCTCAGGATATTAATAAATTCTAGTAAAGAGAAGTTCTTGTCAACATTAAAAACATATAATTGCTACACCCCAAAATTATTTTTCTTGCTCAAAATTTATTTGCTAAATATCATGTATACACATTTCATTCTGAAGCTTTAGTCTTTCTAAATTTACTATCTTAAAAAAATACTGAGTTAAAATAATACATCCAAATATTCTGAAAATAGGACCATCATGTAAAATAAGAAAATTTTCAAAAAATTATTAATAGAATTAGTTGCATCTGAATTTTAACTATGCCAATTTCACTTAAAAAATTATATTAATCCATTCTCTAGAGTTCACATTATTTGGATTTTAAAGAGGGTCACAGACTGCTTTTTTCCCCAAAAATGTGATTGCTTAAACATCATAATAAAGTTAGCTTTAGAAAAAAAAGCCTTATCTGTAAGTTTAGCATTGCAAATTTTCAAGAGAAAAACTGCTTTGCTATCATGATTCCGCCACAATATTTTCCCTCTACTGTGGCATACAAAAGAAACTCATGCTTTAAAGTGATTGTCAATTCTATCTACGGTTATCTCATTTTAAATAAAATACCAAAGTGGAACTTCTCAGAAATGAAAATGAAAAGCGGAAAAGCCAAGAGGTGACTTCCCCAGGGTAACATTTAAAATGAAATCTGTTTATTCGACAGATCCGTTCCTTCATGCTTCTCTCAGGCTGGGGTTATTAGAGTCTCTCACGCAGCCAGATCTTTCCTGCTCAGCAACTCTCTCCTTCTTTCGCATTAACCTTTTCCTCAAAGCAGAACCACTCATGTTATCAGAGCAATCGTGCTAAAGGAAGCTTCAGAGGGATTAGTAATGGAAGGGACTTTGCACTTCTGGTCAAACCAGCCAAGTAGCTTCCCTTTGCTGCTCAAAGAATAGTAATGGCTTCTGCCAGACAGGCCAAAGAAAGGGCAGTGCGTCCACAGGTGGCCTCTCTGGGTAAACTGGACAAATATAAATGAATCCCTCTCTTTCATTGCACTGTGTTTAATAGTTCCTAACAGCCTGATTGTAATCACACACTGTAGGAGAAAAATCCCTCACCTTCTAAGACAAGATTTTCAGTAACCACTTTTCTTGTTGTTTGTAGTAACAACTGAATTTACAAATTCCAACAAAGCAAAAGCAAATATGTAGAGCTTTATGTAGGAGAAGAAAATGAAGAATTTTGTAAGGCCTAATTAAGATCATATCTGAACATGAAACAGAAAGTATGTTTGAGTAAACTGTTCTAAAATACTAGAGTTAGTGCCTCCAGGTATCTGAGGGTTACCACAAACCAATAACGGACCCATTTAATTGTATGAAAATGTTGTTTATAAAAGGTGACTGCTTGTAGGAATGGCACTCGTTCCACTGAGGAAATGCAGTCTATTTTCAGGATGTGATACTGTAATGGAAACTACAGAAACATACATGCCTTTACCTGTATCTTCCTAAGTGAACTTTTTATTAATGTTATACCAGGAGCATTTTCCCGCCAGGAAGATCAGTTTATTTCATTTTATAACTTCTTATAACAAATTGGAGGTTCAAGATCACACGATTAGCAGATGGTTGACCCAGGATCCAAATCAAGGCCCTGAACTCTCTAAAGCTTCCCCTCTTTCCTCTGCCTTAGAATCAAAGGATATTCATCAGTTATGCTCTGTGTACAAAAAGTACTAACTCACTTGGTGGGAATATCATATAAGCAAAAATAAAACCTCCTCACTCAATCTTAAATTCATATTAAATATACCCATACTATATTCCAACTTAAGCTCATAATTTCCATCACAGCATTTTCAAACTGCACGACTAAGTTTTTTAAAAATCTTGTTTCATGGATAACAACATTAAACTTACCTTTTTGCATTTCACTCCCTCTTTATACTCAGTAAAAACTGATTCAAAATACATCCCATCAAGTAGAATCTTAGCAATTTGATAACATTTAAGTAGAGTTATTTTTATTTGTGGATCTGTTTCTTTAAGTTTATTTATTTTTAACTGGAGGATAATTGCTTTGTAATATTGTGTTGCTTTCTGCCACATATCAACATGAATCAACTATAGGTACATGTATTCGCCCTACTTCTTGAAACCCCCTCCTACTCCCGCCATCCTACCCCACCCCTCTAGACTGTCAGACCACCAGATTTGAGTTACCTGTTATCATACAGCAACATTCCACTGGCTATCTATTTTACATCACCAACTCGATGGACATGAGTTTGAGTAGGCTCCGGGAGTTGGTGATGGACAGGGAAGCCTGGCATGCTGCAGTCCATGGGGTCGCAAAGAGTCGGACAAGACTGAGCGACTGAACTGATGATGCTTCATTGCTACTCTCTCAGTTCATCCCACCCTCACCGTCCCCACCCTGTGCCCATAAGTCTGCTCTTTATGTCTAAAAAAGAGTCTTTTAGTTTCTGATCAACACTGAAGTCATATAAATGAACTCTACAGAATCAGGCATCTAGCTGAGCTTCCTCAGGCAGCTCAGCAGCCCCTGGATTAAAGGTGGACAGGACTTAGAGGAAGGAGAGAAAGGAAACTTACATTGCTGTTCATCGCTCATGTCACCACACTGATCTGCAAAGTCACACACATTGTCAAGAGGCAAGGAGACCCCATTGTCACACTGAAAGGCTCCGGTCCCTTGCTGAACCAGCGCGGAGATGAAAACACAGGAGATCCAAAGCACACACAAAGCTCCATTCTTTGGCAAAGCTAACATTCTGGCAGAGGAGCATCACTTGACATGTTTCTTAGAGATCAGGCAGCTGTAACAGGTGAGTCCATAATCGGAAACATCCTTTTTCTTTTCTCTGTTCTTTAATTTCCAGGTTTACCTCTTATGACTGGAAACTATTGGTAACTATCCACAACTCTTAGCAAATGAGTCCAAGACAGCTCATTTACCCTTTCAGAGGAGTGTCTTTAGAAAATATTTAACTGAAAAATTGCATCATTTCTATATCTAGCTAAGCATGTATGTTTATTGCCCTAGTTATACCATGTTCAAACAGTTTATTAATCATGTTACATCCTGAAAGAAAAAAAATTCTTTTAAAAAAAGAGCAGGCACATAAATGGGAGGCAAACCACAGCAAAGTAATAAGCAACATAAAAATGCTCTATATGAATTCCTATGCTTAATCATGTTCATGCAATTCAGCACACTGTCATGAAAACTTATTCAAATATTTCAGGGCCAATTATTAGAACTATTTCATGAGAATGAAATTCTTGTCCTTTATCACTGAATGGAAAGTTTGCACTGTTTGTTGAGATAAACTGAAAAACACAGGATTTTTAAAACCAAAGGGACATTGGAGACAATTATTTTCCAAATCACATTATTTGGACTCAAGAAAGTTAAGGTATATGTATGAGGAAATACAGTAATCTGGTGTTAGAAACTGGAACTCAAATATCCTGCTGCTGAGTACAGTGGTCTTTCTTCTGTTAATTCATCTCAATTTGCTTTCACAAGTGAAACATACAATTTCAGGGTGATATTCACAATGAGCAGTATACTCAAGTTCGGAACACTTGCACTTCATGTTGTAAATAATAATTCTGTCAAGCTGAAAAATAGAAATCATATGAAGTTGATTATTCAGAATAGTCCTTTATATTTGATTTATTAACAGCATACTAAAGTTCTTTTGAACTACTTTTAATTTCTGCAATATAACTTCAAGAGATGAAAACACAAAGACTATACGAAGTGACTGAAGAATGTAGGGTGAGAAGAATCACAGACCAGGAACCAACAATATACCTATGCTTTTAAAGAGGATACAAGGAAAGCAAGATTTTTCACATATTCAAAGAAAAAAGGCCCAACAAACATATGAAGTTCTATAGTGTGATTATTCAGGATTCTAGGAGAAAAATTCATAATTTTGTCCTATTATTAAACACTTCACACAATTTAGCATTTCCTCACTCTGTGCTTTATTCTATTTCAGAAATATTCATTCTCCCCACCTCTCTGCTCAGATTATATTTTCCAGGCTTTCTCTTCATGCTCATAATTTCAAGTATCATCTATACATTGTTGTCTCCCAAGTCCATACCTGAAGCCCTGATATGGCATGTTGAAAGTGAAAGTGAAAGTCACTCAGTCCTGTCCAACTCTTTGCGACCCCATGGACTGTATCCATGGAATTCTCCAGGCCAGAATGCTAGAGTGGGTTGCCTTTTCCTTCTCCAGGGGATCTTCCCAACCCAGGGATCAAGCCCAGTTCTCCCACATTGCGGGCGGATTTTTTACCAGCTGAGCCACAAGGGAAGCCCAAGAATACTGGAGTGGGTAGCCTATCCATTCTCCAGCGGATCTTCCCGACCCAGGAATCGAACCGGGGTCTCCTGCATTGCAGGCAGATTCTTTACCAACTGAGCTATGAGGGAAGCCCACAATATGACATGCTACTCAAACTTATATTTTAAGTCTTCTTCTGGAGTATATATACACATACACACAGCGCATAGACAGACACTGTGACTTCTCTACTTGCGTCAAAAACTAACCTCATCTTCCTTTCCCCCACCCACCCAATGAGCCTTTACTCCCATATTCTATATTTCAGTGAACAGCACCATCTTGCCAAGCCAGGAACTGATATGTTGGTCCAGGACTACACTCACCGCCTATCCATCAATCATCAAATCTCATGAACTGAATTCCATATAGGTCAAGTGAAGACTCCATCAGTTCTTATTTCAGCAACACCCTGAACCAGATGTCTCCTAACCACAACTCATTTTCCATTCTTCAGGCAGAGTGATCATTTTCAAAGCATAAGCCACTCCTACTTATTTCCATCTGAAATAACTGTAAGTGCCATGTGCCCTAGCAGCTTACCTGTTGCAGTTCACTGCTGATTCAATCCTCCTCTGTGTTCTCCATCACAATTTTGCTTAACCATGACCCTGGCAGCTTTCCGAACATGCATCTCAAGACTCCAGATTCGAGATCTCCTTCCTATCCCAACCACCAGATGCATACTAATTAGTCTTTAGTTTTCCAATTTTGAAGAGTATCTTTGAACTATCTTGACTTATTTTCTCAGACTGAATTAAGTTTTGTTCCTGGGTTGTCTCTCATAGTCTTCTGCTCTTACCAATCTTAAATACTTCTGGGTCTGGTGTGGTCACTGACGTTTACTTCAGTGATTCCTCCACTAGTCTATAAGACTAGTGCTGGACTGTGACTTTCTCACTATTGTATCATGAGTTACTAGCAAAGTCCTGGCAGATAGGTCAGTAAGTAATTCCTTATTGAATGTAATTTAGGAGGGCTTACCATCAATAATCTCAGATATCCAGATGACACCACCCTTATCGCAGAAAGTGAGAAAGAACTAAAGAGCCTCTTGATGAAAGTGAAAGAGGAGAGTCAAAAAGTTGGCTTAAAGCTCAACATTCAGAAAACTAAGATCATGGCATCTGGTCCCATCACTTCATGGGAAATAGATGGGAAACAGTGGAAACAGTGTCAGACTTTATTTTTGGGGGCTCCAAAATCACTGCAGATGGTGATTGCAACCATGAAATTAAAAGACGCTTACTCCTTGGAAGGAAAGTTATGACCAACCTAGATAGCATATAAAAAAGCAGAGACACTACTTTGTCAACAAAGGTCCGTCTAGTCAAGGCTTTGGTTTTTCCAGTGGTCATGTATGGATGTGAGAGTTGGACTGTGAAGGAAGTTGAGCGCTGAAGAATTGATGCTTTTGAAGTGTGGTGTTGGAGAAGACTCTTGAGAGTCCCTTGGACTGCAAGGAGATCCAACCAGTCCATCCTAAAGGAGATCAGTCCTGGGTGTTCATTGGAAGGACTGATGCTGAAGCTGAAACTCCAATACTTTAGCCACCTCATGTGAAGAGTTGACTCATTGGAAAAGACCCTGATGCTGGGAGGGATTGAGGGCAGGAGGAGAAGGGGACGACAGAGGATGAGATGGCTGGATGGCATCACCGACTCAATGCACATAAGTTTGAGTAAACTCCAGGAGTTGGTGTTGGACAGGGAGGCCTGGCGTGCTGCAATTCATGGGGTCTCAAAAAGTCGGATATGACTGAGCAACTGAACCGTACTGAACTGAATCATCATTTCAACTTTTGCTAGGCACATGTAAATGAATGCAAGAGGTGAAGTTTTTAGTGCCTCTACATAAAAGGCATATAATTATTGTGTTCAATGTGGCTTTTTTTATTTCTAAATCTTGTGCTATTTTTAAAGGTCCTTTAGATTTTGAAATTGCAATTTTGTGTTGCATTGGCAATACACTCCACCATCCCCCTACACTAAATAAGACATGTATCATGTCAAAACTCATTCCAGATTTTCCTTTTCAAGTAAGGAAGACAAGAGAGAATAGAAATGAAAGAATGTTCTAAAGAAGAAAAAAGAATAAGCAGAAGAGTGTAAAAAGGCATGAAAGCATAAAAACATTTCAATTTTATATTCTAACTTTGAATTCAGGTCCCTTAACAGTTTATATGATCACTATTTTCCACTTACAAAAAAAGTTACATATTCCGTTGCTGTCATAGCTATTTATTGCCTAGTTTCAACTGGGAAACTCCTTCATTAACTGTTACTGTCTACTAAAACTAACATTACTCTATAATGTTTCAAGTGTCATTCATCATTTAGACAAGAAATGAACTGGAATAGTGACACCCAAAGTATATCAGTATAATCCAGTACATAAATCAAGTTCATATTTTGTGGCCAAAAGGTAAAATCATATTCAAATGATAATATGTTTAATCACCTTTTCTCTACATATACCAAAAGGGATATAAATTGATACTGGTAGCACCCGGGGTTGTTTTTATCTAGTTTACTGAGGAAAAGGACAAGTCTTAGAGATCCAGTGCTCCTACACTGGCTGGGTTTATTATATACACTGTTTCATTATATCCAAAACATCTTGCATTTTTCCCTAGATCTAAATTTAAAAAATAGTACTCAGTTGTCCAAGATCACATGATTATTAAATGATGGTACCTGGATTAGAACTCAAGAGAGATGAGTTCTAAAATTACATAGTCTAAAAAAGGACTATGTAATTTTAATTGGAAATAATTGTTCAATAATTTCATAAGGCAATATAAAGGTGAGATTTCCAACAGGCAAAGTTACAGAATATTCTTTTTAGAATGACATATCATTCTATCTTTTTTAAAAGATTGAGAAGCTACTTTGCATAAGACATTGGGGGTGGGGGTTAGGAAGATACAATGGAAAAAAAAAAAAAGACAATGTCCCTAACTTAAAAGAAATTACAACTTGGAAAGGTGATATGAGACATATATAAAAAAATGTACTCACACTGATTCTAATTTTGGCTAAAAAGTCATAGGTCATGCTTTGTATTTAAAAAGCAGCATTCTCAAAATACAAGAAAGTTAGATGATGGACGGAGTGGAATATAAACTGCTTTAAAATACACAAATGAATCCTGAACCTATAAAACTCAAAGAAAATTCCCAAGAGTTGTAAGGGAAATGGGAAAAAGGAAATAGCACTAACTCGGAGTTTATTAATGAATGATGGTCCTAAAGAATATTTTAAGGAAAATTTCAGATGAGTTCAAAATAATGACTGAAAGAAGGTATAAGATGCAGAAAGAAGGCATGAGAAAGCACTTGCTCTATTACAGATTGAAGTGACCCATTGCCCTAATCTTAAAAGATGAACTGAAAAAGGTCATAAAAA